TTCATCCCCTCTGTAGATGTATGGTGAGTAAGCTCGAGCTCACGACTTGAAGAAAAATGCCTGTGTTTGTCCATGCATGCAGGCATGAGAGGGGGTCTGTGGTGGCAAATATTACCACTGCTTATATTAATGACATTCCTGGCTCTGGTGTGAAAATAAGGAGCCCTCTGGCTTCCCTCTGCCTGCCACGGCATTTGTAAACAACTCAAGAGGAAGCAGCACGTAGTAGCCGATCCCCAGGCACACCAGACTCAAGAAGAACGCCGTTTACCAGAGTAAATGCCCAATTTTATCTAAACCTTTAAAGGATTTTCTCATGTAAACTGTACACACGTGCTGCGGATAAATCACTTCCTGCTGCTTTCTTCACAGTCAAATGTTTAAAGACCATCATTCCATTGAATTTGAAGGAAGAGCAAAGCAGGTGCTTGTGCATGTGTGCATGTAGCTATAAATTCCAGCGAGCAGCGTAATCTTAGATTGCTATCGCTCCAGAGCCGCTATGAATACTAATTGAGCGCCTCCTCCTCTTCCACGGCTAAGATTCTATTTCAATAACAGAGCAGTAAAACTTCTGTTCCACGCAGGATCACATTAAGTCAGCTGGGTAATGATATATACAGAGAACCTCTTTACAGATTAAGTTACAGTAGATGTCTGTGCTGTGCTGTAATGCAACATAAAACTAAATCTTGTTTTCCTGATTCTGAAAAACTGCACTGATATGGTACAAACATGTGAAAGTGTTGCTCGCTGAGATTCATGTTGTCTTACCTCAGAAGGTCCCATTTCACGAGTTGTAAAGTCCTTCTTTTAGGGGTGTAATTTGATTTTAATTTTGTATTAATGATTGATTTTATTTGCCTCTTTCCTGTCATATGTTATCTTGTTTTAACTTTGTAAAGCACCTTGGAACTTTGTTTTTAAAAGTGCTGCATGAATAAAATGTATTATTTGTATTAACATTAATCATAACAATGTCTGTATTGGCTAATAATTGTTGGTTGCTTAAAGGAGGTTGGACTTACAGTTTGCGAGTGACCAAACCATTTGACAAGCTACTTTTTAAAGCTTAATGTAAAATTATGTCCGTTTATAAAAGTTAATGTAAGCAACTCTGCAACTAGTGTAGCAAAATTTAAGCCGACATTCCTATTTCCTACTCTGACCTGGAATGGTGAAAGAACAATAACAATTACACTTCCTGTTTCTGTCTGTGATACAAAGTAAAGTGAGTGTTTGGCGACAACTCAAGTAAAGCAAAAGGCAGGAAATAAATAAATAGCTACCTGGTGCCTTGTGTGACTTATGGGCAGCATTGTCATTCCCTCTAAATGTATAGGTGTAGAGCTTTTTAGGAAATAAATGAGTTAGGAATACGTCACATTCAGACATGTCATCCAATGATTTATAGTCTATGGTTTGTCATTGCGAGTGACTTCTTTTATACACACAAAGTCTTGTGATCCACTGTTAATATGAAAACATCGATAGCAGTTTTGAAATGGACCTAAATACTTTGGTTGTTGTTGTTACTGTACATAAAGATTTACACTGCTGCACTTGGTTGGAGGTCACAAAATAGAGATGAAAAGAAATAGAGGAAGTAAATCTGTCTTCAAAGGGGCACAAGGTTTGATGAATAACTGAGGGAAAGAGCCTGTACTTGGTTACAGCTGCCTTTTTATTTTGCCTTGTATTTTGAATTATACTCGTTCATCTTCTAAGGGAAGAAGCGGCCTGCTAAGAAAGAGCCATATACCAGTTGCCATAACCTGAAATTGAAAAGGATAATAAAAAAGTATCTGCTTTATCCTTCATGTGAACGTTTTGAGCTCAAGAAAGGCCACATGGTGAGACATGAAAGGCTAAAGTCCTGTTTCCAAACACTGTGGGATCTTTGAAGTCCGCTGGAAGGAACAGGATCTAATAAATCTATCCGAGCTTGATCCTCGCTAGCCAAATAACCAAAAAGAAATGAATGCAGTCTCTGAAAGATTTCAATATACAACAGAGTCACACGAGCAAGGCTTTTGTGCTGGTTCTATTAATATATGTGTCCGAAAACCCAGTTTCCACATAAATGTTTTTTTCCTCTCTTTTTCATTCTTCTGCTGGTAGTAAGCAAACACAGCGTGGCACATATTTTTATTATCTACCCTTACATTTCATTTCTCCCCCAGTGTTGAGCATGTGATGCTACACATATTAAATTCAAATCCACTGACCACATCTGGGAATTGAACTGCGCCTGTGTGCGGCTACAAAAAAGAAAAGCAACAAAGAGGAGAGGAAAGGTTTTCACAGCTTTGTGAAGAGAGAAGAGGAAAAATGTCTATGTGGACTGACTTCACTGAAAAATCTGCATGAGTCATGCTAAAACATTTCACTTCATTAGCTGTGTTTACCTCCAGGTCCCATGCAGACAGACTCACAACAACAAGGGGAAACTTTGGCCACGCACCATGTCCATATCTGGTGGACAATAACAAATAGGTCATTGTTGAGCACGGCGTGGGACGATTGTTCCACCTATCCATGGCCAAAACTAATACTCACTCACCAAGTATACACAATGGGAGAATGAGCAGAAAGAATCGGGACCTGGCCGTGGTATTTCTTACAGTGCTGGGAAAACTTATCTCCTCTTGAATAGCAGTGCAGTCGCAAAGTGAAACAGGTCTGAACATTTGGTCATAGTCGCACATTTCCTTTCACCGTGAGAGGGGGAAGTAGAGCTCTGCTCTGGTGGCCTTGGTATGTCTCCAAGGCCCCCACGGTGTGTTTAGTTTGTACTCGGGTCATCCATCACACTAGCTCCTCGGCGGCGGGGGGGGGGACTCATCTCTCATGCCTGCTGAGACTCAATCTGGACGTTGGAAGAACTCTCCATTGTGCCTGCAGCATCCTGCAGCCCTGCAGCTATGGTCTGACTGCATTTTACAGCACTTTGTTTATGGCTCTGGGATGTGGCTCTGGGCTAAACATCAACTGTGGCATTGTGATGAACCACATTTAACCCCCATATGTGCACATATGGGGGTTAAATGTAAACATCAGCTCCTGCTCTCAGATATCTGCAGGAAAGGAGTGCTTCAATGAATACAGAAACAGACTGACAGAGACAAGAAAGACTGATGAAACCCTCCCTCCCTCCCTCTGTGCTTCTCTTTGTACTCCATACATCCTGTTAAAGCAAATGTTCTCATGGAGGATATAGAAGGTTCTCCAATGTCACTCTGACGTCTGCCTTAGTTAAAAAATGTAATATGAGGCGGTGTTCATATTAGCAGAGCAAAGAAAGAGGAAGTGAAAGAGAAGTGTCCTTTTTCTCATTTCTGCCATCATGAGGACCATGATTTGGACAACTAAGTGTCTGAATTAATTACTATTGATCCACACCAATCATATATGCCTCTGGAAATATATTGACTCCCCCTGTTGCTCCAGCTAGAATTCCTGCAAGAAGCTGGAAGCTCTCCTGTAAATCAGCCCTTTAATTTAACATTTACAGACATGACATGCAGCGTTTGAGCTACTTTAGGCTGCATCTACACTACCCCATCTTTATTTAGAAATGCATCAACTTTGCTAGGGTTATGCCTGGCGTCCACACTTCTCCGGAGTTTGGAGTTTGGAAAAGCTACTGGCCCCGCTTTAATTTGAAACAATGATGTAGACACACACAACTGTTTGGGGATTGGGTCTTTTCTGGTAATGACGTAACCTTTGCTGATTCGCCAGGCTCCTATCACATGACTGAGGATAATTCAACTGGCACTACCCTCAGCTACCAGTGTAGAATGAAACACAGATAATCAATTACAAGCCTGGCTGACCCTGTTGTCTTTGCTAACAGCTGCTGTAGCCTTTAAACTCTGTATTTTACAATGATACAACTGCTTACACGGAGTATGACAATCTGTGACAATCCCCAAGTCCAGCGGGATGTGCATGCTTTCCGGTTTAAATATTGTTTTAGTTTGAAAACGCTGGAGTAGTATGGATGTGGCCTTAATGTCTCAGCTCACCCAGCCTGCCTTCCCTCTGCATTGTATTTATTGTGCAAACACACAGTGCAGGGAGCCCATGTTAGGTAAGAGCAGCCTGTGGATGTCAAACACCTTTAGGCTTCAACAGGAAGCGGTTTAAATAAAATGCACATGGGCATAGGGATCATCTTATTCATGTTTACTTCCACAGACCTTACAATGAGAGTTAAAATACACAGCGACAGAAGCATGTCAGCGTCTACACATCTACCACTGGTATTGATAAAAAGCATGGGAGATTGTGCTGTATGATAGAGGGGCCCTGTCAGTGAGGGCAGGCTGGCAGACACACAGCTGCAGCTGGCTCAGAGAACATCAACATGTCATTGGTGAGGAGCCGAGGAACACAGCCGGTGACAGGTGTGTCCCTCCGCCACAGTTACTCTCCAGCTCAGGTTAACCCTGTAGGAGGAGCAGCGGATCTAAATGTGGTTCCGTTCCTGAGGTGACAACAATATAACACACACACACACACACACACACACACACACACACACACACACTGATGCGCATTATGATCGCAGTGCACTCCTTGTGTAGTCATGGGTGTGAGGCATGACCAAGCACAACGTCTGAGCTTTCAGAGGGATTGACTTCATGTACATGTGCAGACATGTTTAACTCATCCGCCACATTAGTGTGAGAACTTGTCTTTGTCATCACAGGATTCGTGTTTGATCCGTAAACACTGATTCCAAGCGGCATTTTAGCTAAAAGCTGCTCGAGTAAAATAGTCCGAAGCACATGAAAGGCGAACCACTACCGTAAATAGAAGCCCCGCGGCTGATTGAGCGCGAGATCCTCCAATCACAGCGGCAGCCGGGGGAGCTGTTGATGACGAGGGCGGCCCGCAGCCAATAGGAACACACTACTGGGTGTTGACCTCTGCGAGCCGCATCACCACCTCCTCCGTGTCCGTGGCGGAGGAGCGCTATAAAACCAAAGGCAGCTCGGGCTTTAAAGGGCAGAGTTGTAAAAACTCCCAGGCTGTGGGGAGTCAGCTGTTCACCTGAGAGTCGGACTCGAACCTAACCCCACAGACGCTACATCGCCTGGAGCAGACGCTTCTTTTTTTTTGTACCTCCTTTAGAAAGCGGCGCCAGCGGCTGAGAGCGTGAACGTCCACCGGAGCGGACTGTGCTTAGAGCGAGGAGGAGCGGCCGTTCATTTCCATGTAAGTAAATGTGAACGTCGCCACAACACTGGTCTCCACTGACTGAAACACGTCTGCGAACCTAACGGAGCTCCGCTGTGCTGCCACCCGGCTCGTTAAAAACGCTACGCACCCTTCCAATGCACGAACACGACCGGGAGTCCAGGTGAGAGTCGACGTTTCCGTCCCTGTCGCCATTGTCGTCGTACGTGTTTGACGATGTCGCCGTGAGCTGATAAGCAGCTGAACATTAACAGTGTGTAGCGGTTAGATAGCTAACATGCTACACTCACACCCATCCACTAACTCGACAAGCTAATGCTCGTCGCTCGCTCGCGCTGAGAAAACGAGTCGTTGGATCGATCGTGGCCAAATGAAACGTGCGTGTTTAAGATCTGCATTAGAAATGAGGTTGTAGCCGTGGTCAGACTTTGAATGGTGATTATGTAACAGCAGCTCTCGTCGCAGGCTCGTACGTGCTCCTCTGTCCGACTGCAGCTCGAGAAGAGCCTCGGGTCCGTGTTTTTTCGTGAAGCTCTTTCTCTCCTCCGAGGGTGTTTTGTCTCAACATGTCCGTGTGCCCACGAGCCGATCAGAGACCCTTGTGACTACTGACACCTGTTATCAGATCCGACGCCCTCCGCAGAGGTCAACCGTGGTGGCTGTCACACCAGACCGCTGGGGAGCACACAGTGCTGACACCGTCTCTGAGTCAGTGGCCTGTGTTTATTTATAGTTGTTGATAATGTAGTACCGCTGAGATGCAGCGCTGCTGTGTGAAGGGGACAGTGGGTTGTGTAAACGCTGTGCTGAGTGGATGCAGATTCATTTTGGTTTACTAATTTATCTGTGGTTTTCCTTCTGTTGTTTCAGGATCCTGATTCTAACCCTGCTAAAGGAAGGATATCCGCTTTGGCAACACGTTTTTACATCACCATCGCCACCTTGGAGGTTCTTGACTTGCTCCGAAAAAACGACTCTGTGACGGAAAAAGAATCATCGCCCTCTCCACTGAACCAGCTATGCAGCTTGAAATTCAAGTAGCACTCAACTTTATTATTTCCTATTTATACAACAAACTCCCTCGACGACGTGTGAATATCTTCGGCGAAGAGCTCGAAAGGCAGCTGAAGAAGAAATATGAAGGCCACTGGTATCCGGATAAGCCATACAAAGGTTCAGGGTTCAGGTGCATCCATGTAGGGGAGAAGGTGGACCCCGTGGTGGAGCAGGCAGCCAAAGAGAGCGGGCTGGACATTGAAGACGTCCGGAATAATCTCCCTCAGGATCTTAGCGTGTGGATCGACCCATTTGAAGTCTCCTACCAGATTGGAGAGAAGGGACCGGTCAAGGTGCTATATGTGGATGATAACAATGAGAATGGGTCTGAGCTGGACAAGGAGATTAAGAACAGCTTTAATCCTGAGGCCCAGGTCTTCATGCCAATCAGCGACCCCGTCGGGGCTTCCTCAGAATCCAGCTCTCCCTCCCCTCCCTTTGGGCAGTCCGCTGCCGTGAGCCCCTCCTTCATGCCACGCTCTACCCAACCCTTAACCTTCACCACTGCCACCTTCGCCGCCACCAAATTCGGCTCCACTAAGATGAAGAGTAGCGGCCGTGGTAATAACGGCAACAACAACAGCACCAGTAGCAGCAAGGTGGCCCGCACCTCCCCTACCAATAACCTGGGTCTGAATGTCAACACCCTGCTGAAGCAGAAAGCCATCTCCACCTCCATGCACTCACTGTACGGGCTGGGCCTGGGTCAGCAGCAGCAGCAGCAGCAGAAGGCTTCTGCCCTTTCTCCTAACGCAAAGGAGTTTGTGTTCCCCAGCCTCCAGGGCCAGGCCAGCCCTGGAGCCGTGTTCCCCGGGGAGGGCTCCCTGGGACTCGGCCCTCTGCAGTACAACAATGCCTTTGACATGTTCGCAGCCTACGGAAGCCTCAACGACAAGTCCCTTATGGATGGCCTCAACTTCAGTCTGAGCAACATGCAGTATTCTAACCAGCAATTCCAGCCAGTCATGGCTAACTAAACTCATCATCAAGATGTTATTTATGAATGATGGTGGCTCAAAGAAAAGGAAAAACAAAGTGCACACTTAGGAACTGGACTTTCAAGGATAGTGTCTAGTCAGTGAAGCGCATGTGCCCAAGGGTGTTTTTACTGTGCCCCCTTGAGTTTGTTTCTACTGAAAGCTTGTTGTACAAACACATCCAAGCTTGGTTACTTCAATTCAACATGCATCATTGTTTTTCTTTTTCCTTTTTGCCAACCAAGCACAAATTTTTTTACTATGTTGAGAAAAAAATACTCCTAAAAAGTAAAAAAAAAAATAAGAAAACACAAGCTTCAAGTTTTGGCCTCTTACAGTATTTTAAAGGTGGTAAGACAAGGCTGATTTTTATGAATTGGCACTACTAAGTGGGGTTACTTGGTCTTTTTCTAATTGTATAATTTAATTTAGTACAGAGTTTGTAAGATATCAGAGTATATATTGTTTCTATGACATGGTGTTGCATTTATATCTTTTTACTACTCCAGTGATCTGTGATGGCTGCAGCAGCTTTTCCTTATTTTTTTCTCTTTTTTTAAAGATAATTGTTAAAGAAATCCATCTTTAAAAAAAAAATAAAAATACATCAAATATTCTAAAGATTGTGTACAGAGTATTCCTTAGTGGTGGAATTCAAGTGTAGGAATATTTGCTTTTTCTGAAAGATGAATTGTATTTTCTGTTTAAGAGGTTAAAAGATTTTTGCTATACTATGGACAAAAATGTAATCGTATGAATATTAATTTTGTACCTACATTGTGCAATACTTGATAAAAAAATACGGTATAACAAAGTATTTTGAGTCAGTGTCTTACATGTCAAGAGGGACTGAAATAGTTTATATTGTTAAGTTTGTATTAAATGCTTAAAAATTATATGCTTGTCTTTATTTTTTTTAATTTCATATTTGCACCCTGGTCTTTTTAATAAAATAAACTACAGTTGAACATGATCTGTGGAAAGCAGACTTTATTTATTGCTTGTTTTACCTCCACACTGTGTTTTTAATATTTAACCAGTAGCAGACTTTGTCACCGGGAATCCTCAGCCTGAGCAGATAATAGTGACAGTCACATGCTGGGAGTCGCCACTCTGTCATGAGGGAGACAGGAAGTTCAAAAGGAATGGAAACCTAACTGAGGCAGCATAAAGCCTGGAGCTCATGTGCTGTAAACTTTCAGGTTTTCTTTTTAAAGGCGCAGGTTCATTTCTCAGTAATCTGGGGGTGTAGCCTTGTGACATCACAGCTGTGAGGACAGGTGGAGAGCTATTTATGATCTGTCCCACTCATTGTACCAGAGCGAGCCGTCACATTTCATTATAAAGCCTGGTCCAGTCGGTCTTTGTTTATTTTAAGGCAGACATGTTGGTGTTCACGGTGAATGTTTACAGTATAAGTGTGTGTGTGTGTAGTAATCACTGTGGTGGGCTGTATCATGGGCTTTCATGTCACGTGAAGGAAGGAGTTGAGTAAAGAACAAGCCAAACATTCACCCAGGTTTAGAGCTCCAGCAGCTTAACTCACAGAAGACATAATCACATTTGCAATTCTGTATGACTCAAAGGTCAGAGGAGAAAACAGCTTGTGTGTTTTTATTCTTAAACCATTTCCTCCTCCCTCCTTTTGTCAGAGACTTGTTATGTACACAGATGTTGTTAAGGCTGAGCAAACGTAGGTGCATGAACTCACAAAGCCTGTTTTAGATGCTCTTAAATGACTAGATTGTGTTTATTTACTTAAGTATCTGACCCAACTTACAGTGTGGCAACCACTCTGATTGTAATTTTCTGTAATGCTGTGAAAACACTAGGAAATGTATAAAAATACACAATAGAAGATAAATTAAAAAAAGGTGTAATGTGATGAGTCGATTGACTTATATGGTGGTATCAGTTCTGGAACTTAAGTAATTGGCCTGTACTTCTTCCTCCACTGCTTGGAAGTAAAGAGTGCGTCAGTATCTACGAATTTTGTATGAGGCAATGAAATCCAAACCAAAGTTAAGCTTGGTGTGGCAAATAAATTGCCCAGAAGCGCCACCGTCGCAAATGAATTCCTCCGCAGCTCGGAGGTGTATCCCATGGAGGATTAGAGTGTGGAGAGATTTTTGAGCCGGCTGCGATTCCACCCTCGTAAGAAACAGAGGCATAAAACATTCCTGGTAGATGCTGTGTCATTATGCAAAGAGAAAAGAGATACCGGTCTTTGCTTTCATAACTGGTTTCTAGTCAGTTTCTGGTCCATAACACACCTCTTTTTTGTTTATTAACATCATAAGACTGTGCAGTTTTCATTAGAATGTGTAAAAGTCAGTGTAATGCTAGTATATTATGGTGGTCAGTAAATACCCTGATGCTGTCCACTCAGTCTCTATATTTGGAACGCTTAACTCTGAAAGCCCATTCTGCATTGTGTGCAGTACTGTAATTAATTGGGTCGGCCTGTACCAGCTCAAATTGTTGCCTTTCAATAGGTATTGAAGTTGTTCGAGCCTCGCTATGGAACACAATATTCAAACACACACACACACACACACACACACACTCAGTTCCACATGACCACCTCAGCTTGCTGGGATAAACAGGCCCACAGATGGTCTGGTGTCACACCAGCTGGGAGACTCCCAGGGTACGGGGTGTTGCCTTGCTGTGACTCCATCTTGTCTGTTCCAGAGTGTGCTCTCCCCCTGCGTCACAGAGCTATTTTCCTGCCATGAGCTTCACATATTACACAGTGGTCCTTATCGTGCTGTATCTCTCTCACAGAGGCACACCCAGCCGGGCATTGGAAATGTAGGACTGCTGTTTGCACCTGAGGGTGTTTCTCAGCTGACAGGACTTTTCTGTTTGAATGTTGCGTGACTTCCATGCAAAGGAGAATATATAACAGTGTAAAGAATCACCATTATAAACAGAATTTTTGCTTGTGAAGTGACAGTGTCGGAGGTTTTTGACCTTTTTGGATTATAGGCCACTTTCATGTACACTAAGAATTGTGCTTTCTGAAGATAAAAACAAACCCAATTATCTCCAACTAAAACTCATTGATTAACATGTGTCTATTTAATCATGAAGTTCTGGTTTTACAAGGGACATTTCCATAACTTCCTGTAACCTTGTTTTCACTGTGAACATGTATTGTTTGTATATAGATTTTTGTTCAAATGAAACCAAGGAGCTTTATAAATGAGTCGAATTTACAGCAAAGTTGGTTGTTGATAATACAGGGTCAGGCAGTTTTGCCATGATGTACGATAACTATCTTATTTGTATGATCATTTTCCCCTCTGTATGATGTTTGATCAATAATGCATGATGTACGATCATTTGATCATTTTGTAAAACTTATAGTATTATTATTATAGACAGTATTATCAGTTGTAATCTGGATGATGTCTGTGTTTATGCATTACTTCTAACGTGACGTCTTCCACAGCTACCAAACATCAGTATTGAGCATCACATCCCCACTCTGGTCACAAATGTTCCTCCAAATACGATAATTTGAACCTATACTACAACATGTCCCATGTGACAACGCTGGGGTCAGGTCAGGTGTGTCCTTCTGTTTCCTGTCTTTGTGCTAAGCTAAGCTAACCAGCTGCTGACTATGGCATACAGACACAAGAGGGATATCAAACTTCACATATAATTCATGACTAAAATGAGTGGTATTTCCCAAAATGCCAATGGGTTATTTAGGAGAATTACAATTTTCCAATGAGGTATTCAACAGTTTCTAAGATTCAGATCTTTATGTCCTTTCTCCTATTTATGTCCTCTGTTTACATAAACATCCTGCTGAAAGGCTTTTAAAAGAAAAAGCCGATCACCTTGGAACAAACAACCACAAATGCTGATGAGATGAGACAATAGAAAGAAGCAAGAAAAAGTGCAATGGGAAGAATTAAACTGAATTACATGCCACACAGGCAGACTCTTTTCACTTGTTCAAACAAACACGTTTTAAGCCTCAGTTCGAAGAGCCAAATGGCTGATGTGCTGTAAACACAGAGTTTACAAGGCAAAGAGCGAGCCAGAATTAATCAAGCTAAACTGCAGATTATGCATTTGTACTGTGTTTTAACACAGCAGTGTGTATCACAAGGCTTCAAACAAAGACAGATGGGTCAAAGTATTTTAGAACAATACCAGGGAAGAGGGAGAGGAGCTGGGAGGGAAGTGCAGCGTGTTTTGAATAGTAGTTGATACCAGATGAGGATTTTAGATCAGTGGGACGGAGGTGATTCGCAGAGAATATTACATTTTTCCATCCTGTCTCAGGTCGTCTGTAGGTGCTGGTACGTTTTGACCTTGATCAGAACTCACACTTCTATATTAGGCCCGTGATCAGGGCTGTTGCCTTCACGGACGATAGGAAGTGGTGATAGCACCTGTTCCTGGTTATTGGGTTTGGCATGTACAGCGCGGCGATGACATTTTTGAGGCTCGTGGGCCAGAGATACCAGCACACTGGCAGGAGGCACATCTGCAATTCAAGGAAGCTTAACGTTTCACTTGATTGAAAGATGGAAATAAAAAAGAAAAACCAAAGAGAGAAAGAAGATAAATAGGATATAAGGAAGCTCCATCCAGTCTGTGTTGTTCACTGATAAAGCCGGAGCAGAGGCTTTAATGAACACAGGCTGTGCTGTGTTTGGCCAGCACAGAACCTCAGTCAGTCGCCGCTTTCAAGTGCTGCCAAGTCATTTTAGTGGGGATCATCCATTCGACCCTATTCTTATTCCAAGCCAGACAATCATTCAACCTAAAAGCACTACATCTCAGCTATGTGGAGTCACAAACCATATTTCATTGTGGCTGTATAAGCCTGAGAGGAAAGGTAAGAGTCAAATGCATTGTTGTACTTTCTGTCTCCTGCTCTGCCGTTCCGTCTCTGTTTGTTTTGGTTCGGAGGCGCAGTTGAAGGTTACAGTATCGAAAGGGTGGTGCACACTTCAATAGGTTTAAAAATAGACCTTGCAGGGTTTCTGCGTCATCACAGGAGAATCCTCCTCTCCTAGTCCTCCTCCTCCCTCCCACTCCAACCAGCCAACCATGGCCGACTTCACAGCAGGGGCTACTTGTATGCTAATAGAGCATGGAGCAATTCTTTCCTCTCGCACCTGCATCACAACCAGCGCTGACGTCATGCCCGAGGAGGAATGAATATCCTTTTAAAGGAACCCGGGTGGATCCTGCTCTAGAGTTATGTAATGAAAACAGGCCTCTCAAGTCAGAGGTATGAGAAGAAGCTAGAAAAGCAAGCATATCTACTGGAGGAAAAAAAAGGGTGAAGGAGACAAAGGAGGGAGATTCAAAGATGTTTTTCTGACTACTAATAGCAAACCATGTAGCCATGACAACACATTTCCTTCACCTTTTCATGCTAATAATTGTTTGCTGGAGCAGGAAGAGTGCACTCGCAGCTGAATTAGGTAACTCAGCAAGAGAAAAAAAATGCTCTGGAAATGTCTTGCTTTCACAGGTATAACCTTATTTATTATGATGTGGGAGGCTGAGAAAACACTTCAGGGTCCCACAGGTATTTACTCCTATACAGAGAATCAGTGGGAAAATGGCAGTGTCAGGAGTTTCCACAGTGGTATATAACAGAGATAATGGGGGCAAGATCAACTTGATTTAACTCCACTGTTTCCATTAATCTGAAAAAAGGGATTGGATGTATCTGCCCAGCGTTTTTACTGTATACATAGATATATGTTATCAATATGTTATCAAGTACTGATACGCAAATGTGCTTTTCTCCATTTCTGTCAGTTCCATTGTTACTGCTGAAATTATTAGTCGATTCATTAATTAGTGCACTAGGACACATTCAATCAATTACAATGCAGCTACCCATGCAACCAAA